TCCCATATGTCTACACACAACCCCCCTCGGGTCGCGCCGCCCCGCGGCGCGTCGCGTCGCGTCGCGTCGCGTCGCGTCGCGTCGAGTCGCGTCGGCCACATATATCCGTGTGCATGTATCAACGTTCCCAGAAACACGTTACACTGACCCAAGGGACTCGTATCTTTGATACTGGGTCATCCCATGACAAATTGATCGGTGACGTTGCGCCGTTGAGCTTCGGCATGAGTCTTCCACGCTCGAACGAGGAAGATCCTTCCGAGGGACATGTACGATGCGGTGGATTATACCACCGCTAGGTGTGAGATCCGTTAGATCCGCGTCTAGGCTGTGCTGGGTAAATTTCAGAGGTGTAGCACTGATACCATTATATGAAATACGTTAAGCCTGTGGGGAAATATGGAACCTATAGGAAAATGATATTTGCGACAAATATTTGGCGTTTGTACAAATAGCAAACACAGTGTTTAAAATTGTATTTTATTTCCGGCACAAATAAACGTAAATTTAATTTGCGTTTAAGCCACAATCGTAAAATAATCGAATATTTTTTATTTTTTTATATATATTATCAAATTAATATACTTCTTAGATTTTTAAATAGATTTGGCAAGTATGATTCTGGAGATGTTACATTATAGAAATCGCGCCGGTTATATATATATATATATATATATGATTATTAATATCATGAATGAATAACGTTGCTATTAATTGGTAAACTTTTTATAGCGTATATTTTTTATTAGTGTATGTTATTGCAGTATTTAGTTTTATACACATTTTTGAAACGTATAGTATATATTCTCACGTAAATGCGAGGATTACAATTGGGGAAAAATTGAATATCACAAAATAGGGTATCGAGTAATGTGCGGCAGCAACGTGAAAAATTGATTTCGAAGGTCAAATCAGGATACCGATCGATTCGACGCGACGCGGCGTGCCGACCGAAATGCATTTACAGAGAAACAGAGAGTGAGAGAGAGAGAGAGAGAGAGAGAAGCATGTTCTGGAGCGTTAAAATTTCTGACCGACGAACGGAACGCGACGTTCGACAGGCAAACCGATTCGACAAACGCTCCGTCTCGATTAGTGACTTTATTTAAATTTAAACGCCCGTTCACCTATTCGATGGTGATTATCGCAGCTAGTAATTGCCGGGACGACATCGCGATTGATTGTTTTACGATCCTATCAGTGTGTTCTATTTTATCGGAGGCCAGCGCGGTATAATCTACGAATACGCCTACGCGCGTGTGTACGCCTGTTCGAGGCGATTTGAAATTTCCGATACTCTCGCGAATGATAAAAAGCCAATGGGCGTGATAGAAGCCGTTGGACGTAACGCGCGCGTGCGATACTTTCGTGATATACGTTTACATGTAAAATCACTGCTAGTAAAATCGCCTGGGACGTATCCCATCCAATTCCGACATGACCCAATTCTGTTTCGTAAGCTGGTGGCGTGCCTTGTCATAGACGTCACGGAATATGATAAATGTTTTCCAAGTAAATGAGTAAATTGCATTCGATACAAAATTTATTTTTACCCCCTTGCAAATTATTACGTAGAGAATAAACGGAAATCTATTCCGAGTGATGTCGATATAATGACACGACCTCCCAATGACACTAACTAAAATCTTTCGATACGTCGATCTCGTTGTTAAACGGCTCGGTTACACAATAACATCGTTCGAGTATCTTTAGATATGTGATAAAGGTAAATAATCGTGCGATACCGTTCGCGTTCGTCAAAGACAGAAGAATGGCTTAACGCGGGTCAAAGAAGCGCGCTTTGTGAGGCCGCTTACGAACGAGAGAGATTGTTCGAAGCTCTGAAACGCACCGCATGATTACAGCACGTTGTCGGCGGGGACGCGAGGGGTGCCCCAAGTACGAGGCACAAGCGCAATTATTATTACGCTCGTTACTCGCATATTCCATTCAAAGCATTCGGGCGGACATTCGGCGGCAGCGACTGCCGCAGGGGTTATTATCCTATTGAGCTCGTAAGAAGCAGCCCGCGTGCGATGTCGTATGAGCCATCGTCTTACGACATCCTCTATCTGCTAACCAACGGAACATAGTGTAACAAGAAACGCTTAGCTCGTAGAGAACCTCGGTAACTTCGCTGCTCCGAGAAGTATCTCGAGAGGAAGAGAGATCCCTCTTTCTCAGGAGGGAGAGAGAGAGGGATGCAACTCCAGTATAACGAACGGCTTCGACGATAACATAGGGCGACGCCGAGGCGCCACGTCTGTGCGAAGACTGCGCGAGTCCCGACAAGACATACGAGAACGATACATCGTTCTCAAGAATCTCTCCTCGAGCGATTTTCAGTTCTATCGATCATTTCACCGACGACGAATAAGAACGGCGTACGGGAGGAAACGTAGATAGATGACGAAGCGGCTTGCACACAAACGAGATAGAGTGAGGAAAGTAGAAACCGAGTACCATCTTGTTCCCGTTATTAGATGACGGCAGATAGCCGATACGAATATAAACGACACGATGAAAACTAATTAGTGGTCGATGAGACGATCGAGCGTTTTCCGTTTATTTTGCTAAATGGTAAAGAAGACTAAGTAGTTGCGTTAATAAACGCGCAGCTTGAAACGCCTAGAATCAATAATAATAATTGCGTATTAAATCTCTTAAAAGTACTTATCCCAAGGAATACACCGAGTCAAGAGCGAATCAAAATCACTTTATTTTGACGTCATGAAAGTACAAAATGATTTATTACAAAATTTGATTGTTCATGACGTGAAGAATTAAAATTAAGTAATTTTGATTTTTCGTTGATTTTTGTGTGTTCCTTGAGGAGATTCTCGGTGCAGTTTTTAATGTTCGCTAAAATTAACTTACAAAATAATTTTATCAAGATTAACTTATCATTTGTGAAAAATCAAACAAAATGCATTTATCGTATAAATTTTGAATGAAGAAATACAGAATCTCAGATACCAGCGATCAGAAAACAGCCAATTAGCATTCTTCATCTTTTTATACCGCCGAGTGAAAGGTTCGTAACGAGAGGAATTTTGTTAGAAAAGGGCAAATCGATCGATTCCTAAGAAACGTTTCTAATGGAAAAAAAAAACCGACAGATATACGTACCTATATAAGTTATCTTTGAATTATTTAGTTCTGTATAAAGATCACGGCTCTTTTTTTTATCCGATACGATCGCCCATTTTAATACTCCGTAAAACGCTCCGCGCGATAATTATGAAGACGTAGTATGTTTTCACGACAAAATTATATTACGGTCGTAAAAAAAGCTTCCCTCATAATGGCGATTCCATATGTGCTCTTAGCCACATACACATGTATACGTGTATGTGTGTGTGTATGTTTGTGTATGTAGAATATATCCCCTCCATTCTTGCCTCCAATACTAAATTGCCGGCACCCGGCAATACCTTTATCGCTTCTTTTACGGCACTGACCTCCTTGCCTTCCAACTCCGTTTTTGAATCCGATGGGACTATAAAAATAAATTAGATAAGACGAAGAAAATGAGTAAGAAACGATAGCGGCCTATATACTTGTTAAACGGCATAAAAGAGAAAGAAAGCACACTAAAAATTCACGAAAAGAATTTCTTCCGAAATTTTCTTTCGACGATTTTTTGCTCAGTCTCGATTAACAGATGAAATATTCGATATTTCAAGATGCTTTAAGTTTAATTTAAATATTTAAGTTCAATTTAAATATTCATATTTTAAGATATTTAATATAGTTTAAATTTTATTATTAGTTCAATACATATCATCACGTCATACTTTCATTTCATGATATAACGTTACAAGAAATAAATGATAACCAATTTCATAATGCATAATCCAATTCTTACAAATACATGTGATCGATCTAATAAATTTTTCTCATTTATTCTCATTCATTAGGAACGAGAGCAGAAGAATCGGGCGAAGAACAGTATCGTTAATAATTTGCCTCTCGTTGCTGATGACAATGGAGGCGAAGACAGTGGCAGCTATGAACGTGACAAACGCATCGTCCGTGGTAGTGTCGACGCTGAAACCGTTTATAACGACGGAAGTAGTTTATCAGCGATTCGCCATCGAGCCGATGGATCAAACCGCGGTGATTGGCAGCCGAGTGACGCTTCCATGCCGAGTTCTCGATCAAAAGGGGCCCATTCAATGGACCAAGGACGACTTTGGCCTAGGAGCTGTTAGGAATCTCACCGGATATGAGCGATACGCCATGATCGGTAGCGATGAAGAAGGCAAGTATAAGCGAATAAGATAATTCCGGAAATTCTGTTTTCACGCTCAAATGGATTCCTTCATCAATCGCGTAACATGCAGATACTGCAATTATGCAAAATACAGCGCGATTTGCGATCATGAAACTTCCTGTTTTACAAGAGAACATTCCAAAAGTCATTTCAAATATCAAGAAACTAATATCAAGAACTATACTATAGTTAGATTTTGGGTTCCAAGGCCCACTTTGGATCTAATAAAAAAAAATCAAGGCCTTATTATAAGTAACTCATCTAATGGCTTTCTTTAAACCTACAACTTTTATTTGAAACATTTTTTTTTCAAAAATGTATTATTCTTGAGATATTTTGTGTCTAAATTAAAATCGCCAAACATGTTTCGGTCCAAGTCAAGGATACAGAATCCGTAGGATCCCAAGATTTAACCATCTAGAATCTAGAATATCTGTTTCAAACGTAATTTTTCGATTGGTACCGTTAATTTTCTGCATCACTTTTCGAATGTTCTCCTGAATAATAATAATTTTAGAAAGATTCCTTTTATTTTCGTTACTAGGAAAAGATTGGGAAATCCATTTATTGGATAACTAACTTTCGGCAATTTTTTTAGCTTTAGAACTCGTGAGATAATGCTTGAAATAATAACCGAGGATCATCCTATATATTAATGTTTTTCGATACAATGTTTTGTGCTCTCTCGAACGCGAACTTAACCACGTTTAAATTTCCTACTGATAGAACTGCACTTTTTATGAGTAAAGGATTATTTAAAAATCTATACGCTACATCAACATACTATAATACGCCGCTGGCCTGTTTACTCGTTCAAATTCAATTTCCGGCCGCAAGGTATTGATTTTCTGCCGTGTCGAAAAAGTGTATACACATTCGCATCATACCCGGTTGCCCGTAGGACTTGCGCGTCATGAAAAAATATTTCACGTTACTTAGAGATTATATTCGTAGACATAGCACACATAATATGCGAAGAAAGAAAGAACTTGGATATGTATATAGTAAACTCACAAAGGCAACATTCGGCATAAAATAGTGAGGTACATACGTGTATACATATATATCTCATTGTCAGAATGGAAATTGTAACATGACAAAAAATCAAAAGTATACAGAGTATATTTTTTTTATCTGTGACTACATGTCCGAAGAATTCTGTTCTAAATATTGGAATCTTTTTTTAAAACTGGATGACCTCTTCATGTGTCGTATAAAAATATTGTCAAGTATTAATGGTTATTAAATTTTTGTTTAGCGAATCAATTTAAAAAAGAATTTAAGTCATTATAAAAATTTTATATACGAGTATATATAAAAATTGAAGAAAAATATGAGCTTTATTTTCTAACGAAAAGTTATATATTTTTATTTTGACAGCCACTGCCGACACGATGTCAAAAAAATTATTTTGAACTGTCAAGCTTCTTTTGGTGTGAGAAATGACCTCCTTTTCAGTTGTATTATCATTTCCGCTTCACTGTATATAGCACTTCCGCAAGAGGTTCTCTTTTGTTAGCATGCTTTAAAACAAAGATGGACCTCGCGCTACTCTTGTGTCGACTACGTCGCATAAAGCCGATGCAGTTCGCATTAAAAGCTACTGCGAAGTTAAATTAGTTTCCTAACGAGTTACTAAAAAATGCCGCCCAACACTCGTAACACTTGCTGGTGTAGGAGTACCTATTTTACACGTGTAAACGTTTTCATAGTATACAAAATAGTCGCTGAGATGCAACCTAGCACTTGAGACGACATTCTTTATTGTAGAATTTTTAATATGAAGCGACACATATATTCCCGGATGAATTAATTCAAAACGTAATGACAAAGGCAACGAGAGGATAGAGAATTCTGTCCAATCAGTAAATTGTGTCGGCAAATGAAAGGGTGATGTTCAAATAAAGACCTTCACGGTTCACGTCTCTGGCCTCAGCAGCGAGAACGCTGATGATGTTAGCGTTGCTGGTGAATAAACTCGAGAGACACAAACGCAAATAACAAAGCACACGCGAATGAAATATTCTTAATGCCGACAGCAAATCGCGGTAATAACAATGACAGAAATAGACGGCGAAAAAATTAGCGGCAGAAATGTATTGCGGCATGATTTTTCGAAATAAAACATAAAAGTAATATACATCCGATTTATACATTCGATTTTCCCCCATCAGCGCAGAAATTTCTTTCAAATCTACACAAAATAAAAAAAATATTATTTTAAGATTTATGTTGGACAAACGAGATTATAAAATCTTGTTGTCAAATAATTGGAGATTGTTATCATGTTTATTTCGATGTGACCAAATAGTAGATGAACAAGTAAATGTGTGTGTGTGTGTGTGTGTGTGTGTGTGTGTGACAAGCAAGTGGATAAAAAAAAATGGCATAAGAATAACAAAGTAAAAATTGAATTGTGACGAGGATTCGTAAAGGTGTTCCAATTACATTAATATTATAACGGGATAATCAATGCATGATTTAATCGCGCATATAGCGATAAAACGAAACTTTTTTATGTAACGGCGCGCGAGGCGGAGCCAGTAAACTGGTTTATTTCATCCGTTGTATCTCTTCCAACATATAGATTGTCTTTCGGAGCGCGCGTATCTTTCCGCGCTCGCTGCATTCGTCATTTAATTCCGCAAAAATCAGCGCGCCGAAAGCGAAACGATCCAACGTTTATTCAATCAAAATTTGTAACGTGTTTCGCGAAGCTGTCCTGCTCGTGCGCGTCGGCATATTGAAACGCCGAACGGTATATACGAACGCGGCGTTTATTTTTTTATTTCTATTCGTTTTTCGGTTACGGTATTTGCCGGGTGCAGGATTAGTCGCCGGGCTTGCCGAAGATAGAGTGATCCCACGATATCGTCCTATACCGATATTCCATTTCCTGCATTCACAATATGTTAAAAAATATTACATTGTTCGGCAATATTTTTAGATTGAAAAAAAAAAAAGATATCGTATTACGTTTATTTGACTAATAAAATTACCAAGATTGATCAGCCACTCCATTTAAATATTTTTTTCGTTATTTGACATAGAAATAATTTTCACGTCAAATCTGTATCTCTTTATCTTTCCGGATATTATTTTTTTTTCGCACGAGTTAGTTTTGAATATAATTTGAATATATAGTTTTTCACCTGCAGATACTTTAATACGATTTAAATATTTCGTCGCGCGATTATCCGAGAATTCTAATTGAACATAATCTTTTGAAGGAATTATCGCGTTACGCAAAAAGTTTCTTTTATAGAGATTTCTCGTGAAACTCGATGATGACGCGTCAGTCAAAAGTAGGATTAGGTATACAGGTGGCATTATATCCTTAAGCTGAATGCCGTATGTGCCTCTCCCGATGCGTATATACGCGGACTTCCCCAACAATCACAGTGTGTTGGGACGATAACGCTCGCGCGCGTTTGAAATCCAGTTTAAGCCGAGAAACCATAATATACTTGTAACTATATGCCGTTGCACGATGCCTTGGTCCTCGTTCATTCTTCTCATACCCGTATAAGCGCGTTCCATCGTCTGTATGGCACGTACAACGGTAGCAACGCTTGATTTCCATAAAATTATTGCCGGTTTAGTATTCCAGGCTCCATAGCTTATATTGCAATATTGTTACATTTTGGGCACCACGTTTTCTAACCTTAGGCTATATGCTTTCATAATGAAGAGCTGGAGTAATTAAAGTAAAAGCAAAATAACTCTCTTTTAAAAAAATACTCCACGTTATGGAAAAAAAAAAAAGTAGATTAAGGTTGGTCTGAAAATTATTCGCCAGCAGAACAAAAAAATTAATCGAAAGTGCAGGAAAAAAAAATTAGATGTATGCATCCAAAAGTTAATTAGTGCGGAACATAGTGTGGGTGTTCGTTGCCGGTAGCGAGATTGTGATTAACTATCGGAAAAACCGTTTAATTAACGTTTTCATCATTTAATTCGAACATAAAAGAGATCAAGAAAGCTCGAAATTTTCAAGCTTTATCTCGTATGACCACGATCGAGATCAATCTTACTTATGTGTCAGTTTCTATATCACTCGCTTGGCACGATATTATAAAACGCTCATTTTTTTCCTTTCAAAAATTGATTCACTAAATTCAAATGGTAGATAAAAAATATCAAATAACAAAAATTGAAATACTGCAATAAGTATAACAAACTTCCCATCAAACTTTTAGTTAGTTCAGTTTACGAAGAAGCTCTAGATTCAGAAATATAATCTATAATCTATTTCGTGTATATTTTCTGTAAAATTTTTCCTCTTTTTATTACTTCATGATATTTATGTATTCATTTCACAATTTATGTATTATTTAATTAATTAATTTCAATTCACGTCTTTAATTATCGATTTAATTATAATTTCAATCTACATAATTCTTTTAAAACCAAAACATCTCGGACTAAACGGCCGAAGATAAGCGCCTTGAAATATATCAATATTCGAGCAAACAGTCGACGGGAGTAGATGCCGCAAACGGAATCACAACGTGTCGCGGTCGCTTTAATCGGCGGAGACTCGGCACATATCAATGTACACACGACAGAGTAGAGATAGAGCGAAGTCTTTAATTCGACGTCGTGTATGCCGCGGGCGGAGAAGCGGCTAAGTTTAAATTAGTTCCGAAACATTCGGTGCACGCTCTGATGGTTAATGGTTCTACCATAGATCAATAAGATCGGTGGCAGAGGCGGCGGTATAGCTGCAGCTGCAGCTGCGGCAACGGCATCAGTGCCGATGCGACGAGAAACGGTTGCATTGCGCGCTGCGCTGCGCTGCACTGCGTTAACGTTGTACCGCGTTGTCGCGTTTCGCCGCGGGGCATCCAGCTGCGAAACGCGTCGCAGCCGCAGTCACTTGACCGGATATCCCCGCCGCGCCGCACCGCGGTCGCTTCTGTTACATGCTCGATATACCTGTTCCTCGCGAGCTCATGGGCGCACGGAAAGGAAAAAACGTATACACC